CATGCTATGCTTTGAACAAGATTCAGCTTACCCGGCTTGGCGAGCATCTGCAGGCTGACCCTTGCGCCTCCGTAGGCCTCCTCTGGATTGCTGGACATAGCACCCATCCAGTAAAGGGCCTGAGCAGTCGAGTTGGCATAACAGTAGTTACGGGTATTTAGGAGTTTGGCAACTGGTAATGAGGGCTTGTTGGGCCCCCCGCTGAGANNGCCGGGCTCCCACTGACCCGGCTGCCCCCTCTGGCCGACCCAGGCCAGGAGGTGATCTCAGCGGGCCGCGCGGCGACTCCATGGGCAGTACGGTGTGGCCAAGTAGTTCTCCTCGAGCTGCTTGGCTACCGGCTGGCGTGCCAGCCTCTCCGGTCTCACCCGTGCCCCGATGAGCTTGCAGACTGCGCTCCCTGAGAGGAGCTGGAAGGCCCGGTGAACTGCATGAGCCTCCTGCACTCGTAGTCCGATCGTCAGCATGAAAGGCACCACTTCCAGATCCGGCTGGAATTCCTGCTCCAGGTCCTTGGTGCAGCGGAAGTTCAGCAGCACCCCCTCCTTCGCGATGTTCGCTTCCAGCATAGCAAGCTGGGCCTGGATGGCCGTGGTCTGCAGCGGGTGCTGGTCCGTCTTCTCTTGCCTCTTCTCCTTGGGGTTCCAACCCCAGTATGTCCACACTGGGTCCATCGCTTGGTGCCCCTCGGCCATCCAGCCAATCGACATGGCTTTGGTGCAGCGGTTCTCGTCCGCTAGGAAGGCCGTTAGGCGGCTCTGTAGCTCCCGGATCACCGCCATCATCAGCAGGGTGCGCAGGGGGCTCTTTACGTTTCCTGCCGCATACTGGGTGGCCCACTCTTGGGCTACCTTCTTGACTCCGGGCAGGATGCCGGCCTCCGGGTTGGTCGTGGGGGTGTCCAGGAACAGCATGAAGCCGCAGTCCGACCGCAGTCGTCCCAGCTCCGCTTCGTGCCTCAACGACAGCTGCACAAGAGACTGTAGGACCGCTTGGGTCGCCTTGTCGAGGTGGGCCCCCTCCGCTTCCTCGTCGTCCTTCTCCCACTGCCTCTTGNNGAGCCCCAACCACCGTGTGAGGGTCCCTTGCCTTTGGTTTCCGTGCGAGGCCACTTGCCCCCTCTTTCCCAGGAGGACTTCGGTTGGTCCTTCTCCTTGTCCGCTGAGTCTTCCGTCGCCTGTGTGGCGTTCTGGCCCTCCGTCGGGAGCCCCTGTAGTCC